TGAACTACATCTTCTCAGACATATTTTAAATCATCTCTAACTTAAATTCTGATTCTTTGGGATCTTCAGTGTGATTGTTGTAATTTCATTTGTTAAAAAGAAGTGGCTTCTGTTTTGCTGGTCATATCTAATCATAGTGGTTAAGCACCACAAATGCATTTCTTAACTTTTAAATCCTTGACTTAAGATTCTTTTCCAACAGTTTTTAACATCACCCTTCTTTATCCTGCAAGAGCTTTAGACAAATGGGTGATCTTGTAGTGCCACAGTAAAAATCTTTTAGAACTTAATTACATATAGGAAATGTCACTGGAGTGAAGTGTGTCCCTCGATCTTGGGGCTATAATGTTACAGAGTTTTTCTGTGACAGTTATTGATCCTGTGTGTAGCTTCAGTTGCCAGAAACGGAAACACTCAAAATGCATCTTAAGGAGTAAAAGGTAACAGTGATGAGCTTAATACATAACATTTGATAGTTTTTCAGCAATAAATATTAGCTATAACACTTTCCAGCAGTCTGTGTTTCTCATCTCCCAGTAATGAACTGTGGCAGGGTTCTGTTTTCAGTTCTCCTCTGATGATACTGCTTCTTCTGACGACTGGGACACCATCTATTTACCCTTAGAGCAGTATTTTTCTAAAGTGCTGAGCTCTGGTATAAATCTTCTCCCAGAGAAGTCAGTGAGATTTTAATTCATTTCCAGTACTCCTTGTTTTGAAAATCCAACTTTTTAATATATTTTTCATACTCTCTTTTGGCTTTGTTTGTTTGTTTGTTTGGGTTTTTTTTTAAGACTACACAAGTTTTTAGAAATAAAAACAAAAGGATGGGGTGACTGGAGTTAATGACCTTTACAAAAATATTTTTATTTAGTATTTTCTGCTGTGATCATAACTGCAGCGATGGCTTACAGGTAATTGCAGGTGGATGTAAAGGAGTGAAGTCGTTAGGAAAACATGAAGAAAATACCATTAATGACTTAGAAATTGATCAAAGTCAGAACTGCAAATCCCCACATTGGGGGATTTTTCATTGCAGAGAATAGTTATCAGTACTCCAATTTAACAACCAAAGAATTGTTCAGAAGATAATTGAGGCAGTAGTGAACTGCTAAAAGAAAAACACAGTTCAGCATATTGATCAAATAGCATTTGAAACATGTTCCGAATATCTTTGCCTATTTCTTTTCTAAGTATATTATAAATAGTAAAATAATACATGAACATTTGGCAGTGCTTCCCTTAAAAATCTATGTACTAATACTGATTTTTGAGGATACAAAACTGTGTGTCTCATTGTATGGGGTTAAAAAAGGAGGAGTTTGTCCTGTAGTTTTTATTCAGCAAAAAGTTCTCTTGATTTCACTGTGAGTTTCTCTTGTGTTGAAATTCCAGTAAATCTGTCTTAGAAGGCAAATGAACAGATACTGTCATGTTCAGAAACATGAAAAATGAACAAAAAGGTCCACAGTCCTTTAGCATAAGAAATTAACAGATACTGGCACATGAACAGATAACTGGCACATTCAGAAACGTGAAAAATAAACAAAAAGGGCCACAGTCCTTTAGCGTAAGAAAAGAAACTGGCAACTTGTATATGCTCATATCTTTAATGCTGTGTTTACTGAAGGGTGAAAGTTCATATTACAGTGAACTGCTGATCTCCTTCCAAGCATAGCTGGGGTGTATTAAGAACAGGCCCAACTAGCAAGAACAGATTTTTTAAATTTTTTTTTTTTATTTTCCAGATTGAAAGCAATGAGTAGGATTTATAATTGCAATTGGCTGGAAGTGCCATGGGGTGATGGAGATTTAGGTATTGTATGATACTTTGAAAAATTTTTTTTAACTTTGCCTGTTAATACAGTGAATATGTTCATTCTTTCTTGTTAGTGTTTACAAAGCAATGTAGGCTGCCCTTCCTGGTAAACTATACACCAGAGAACTTGGAACTAACGTGGCTTCTAATTATAGTTGGAGGTACTTTGTATACAGCATCTGTCAGAGACAACTTCAGTAGGGAATTAATGCATTAACAGTTTTGGAATAGACTGCGTGTGTTGTCTGTAACAGCAGTATTAGCTATGAATGAAAAAATGTCCTTGCTTATATACTTGTTAATGCTTTACAGGTGAGAGACATAGCAAGTTTGTGGATTAGCAGAAGGTAGTAATCTAGACGAAGAATTTATGTTAAAACACCTTTGATGTTTATTTATGATACATATTTATTTTGAACATATTTTTGCCCTTGTGGTATTTAATGATTAATTACTATGTTTACTGATAAATCTGTTGGAATATGAAAGGTTTTTTTCCAAACTTGGTTTGCAAGAAATATTTCTGCAGCATTTTGCTTATAGATTTTATTTCTAGTAGAGATGACAAGCATTTTGTATTTGATGGATTTAGCAGAAACAGCTAGCTGCTGGATATCTCTACAGGAAGATAGGGATATAAGGTGGGTCTACGTGCAAAACAGAGCTCACAATGTGTGTTATTTGATTCTCAAATGTCACTGGAGTAATAGCATTGACAGACATTCTTCTGAGCAATCCAAGAGAGAAGGAGGTGAAAGATAGGTGGAAAAAAATGTTGCTTTCAGATCCGACCTGCAGCTTTGTTCTGCTTGGAGATATACACAGTTTAAAAATGTTCAAAGTGTGAATGTATTTAACAGGCATAAAAACTTCATTATGCTTACAATTTTATTAGAAGTTTTTCTGTATAATAGTTAAGTGTCTTCTTTTTTTTTTTCTCTGTTATTTTAGGAGTAGGATAAGCTGTCAAGAGAGAGATGTTCTCGTCTGTAGAGACAGGGGGCCAAAATTTCAAAATCAGTCTCTAAATACAGCTTTTAATTATTTTTTGCAGCTGTCAGCAGGAGAACTTTATGGATCTAATTAGTTTGAATTTAGAATGACTCAAGTGCTGGTTCACATACTACCACAAAAGGAAAACATTGGTCAAAATTCTCATAGCGATTGAACACATCCAACCTACAATAGGATAAATATATCTGAGCCTATTGGGATAACAGAGAAAATCCTGATGTTTTGTCAAAATCAGGTCACATTAAGATTTCTGAGCTCAGTTTTTCTAGTATAATGCCTCGTCAAATCCCAGTCTTTTTGTGTTTTTGGTTTGTTTTTTTTTTTTAGCTGTTATTTTGACCAACAATAAGAATTGCAAAATATTACATTTAATAAACCTAGAGGAAAAAGTATAGGGAACGATGTATGCGCATGCACATACACATGCACACACAGATGATCAGAGCTTATTGCAAATGATTCTGAAAGAGTGTTGGAAGCTGGATCTTGCCTATGGTCCATCTACTCCCACAGATGAAAGAGTACAAGGAGCTTTACAGATACTGGATACTCTGACATTATAGAAATCTCTATGCATTTTTAAGATCAGGTTTACAAAGTTTTAATCTCCTGTATATTTTAACGTCTGTTATCAGCTTTATATAGTCTTATGATAATTTAAATACTTGTCTGTGTTTTTGTTTTGCTAAGTTTTTGATCTGAATAGGATCCAGTAGTGCAGAGTTCCACAGTATAGTTATATGTTCTGTGAGAAGATACGGTTTTACATATGAGCCAGTTTTGGTTTCATTCACTAACACCTCTAGGAAAACTGAGGTTTTATCTAAATTTCCATATTGTGCACAATTTCATATGTTTTTAAGTATGCCCTCATTTCTTTTCAGGTTGAGCAGTCTTAATCTATTCGGTTATTCTTGATGTGATTTGAGGGGGTTATTTATTGTAACCAAAAGTGTGCTTTCTGAAACAGGCTAGTGGGCAGAAGGGGTCCAATAGGGAACAGGAACAGAGTCTGTTCCTAGTCAGTGGTTATCTTAGAGCTTAGACTGATGATTGCCAGTGACTGAGCCTTCTTGTTTAAAATTCATTGCCTTGTCACTAAAATGCAGTCACTGGCTTTGCAGGCAGTCCTAGTCCATTGCAACAAAGTCAGATATGTTTACACACTGGAGATTCATCTGCCGTTGTTACCGATTCATCATACTTAGCTAATTCTACATTTCTTCATAGCTTGATATAACTCACATGAATGGTTGTATTAGCATTTTACAGTTCCAGTGATTTTTTTCTTATAGGAATAAATATTGGTAATTCATAATATATTTTGAAGAGGGTTCTTCCTTACACAGTCTCTCAAAACTTGATTTGCAAAGTTCATACAAAAAATTACTATCAGCTATGCCTGCAACCCTGTCTGGTGGGAAGGGACCTGTCAGTGGCCAGTCTTCTAGAGGAAAGGGCAGGTTCTTCATCAGGAGCTACTGAATGATTCTGGGACCTGTGTTGGGAGTTAAGGGGATGTATGTCTGTAAAGGCAGGGTTATTTGTTTTCTGGTTTTCCCTCTGTTTTGTGGGGGGTAATAAATAAAGGAAAATAAATGCCAAACCTTTACATTAAGCATATTTAACTATTTTTAGCCCAAATAGATTATTATAGAATGAGAACTTAGACTTAATACTGTATTTCTACTATAGCCATTTTTTTAGTGTGATTCTCACTGTATTTCTCTTCTTGCACTAGTGTAGTAGCTGCAGAATAATCTCATCATATGCAAGTATTTCCATATTTATTTTCACATACATCAGCTTTTTTAGGATTTTTTTCAGGCAGGTTCATATCTGGTCTAAGTTCAAATATCAATTTGTTGAAGTCTGTAAATTTCTATATGCCAGTTGCAAAAATAAGTCATATTATTACTGAAATCACTATATCAATATTTTGTTCTCTGTACCACATAATTATTTAGTAGAGATGTTTAGAGTTAATAATAGATCAGTTTTTATTTTCTAGAAACTGATAATTTGAAATATGGTCTCTAAAGAGAAAAAAATATTTTCATGGGACAGTTAACTTCATTCTGTGCATTATATTTTCTGCTTTGCTCTATGCATTCCAAAATCATTCTTAATTCATATGGTTTACTCAACAAATGTTGTTATTATATAGGTTCTTGGGCAGATCGCTCACCTCTGCATGAGGCAGCCAGTCAAGGACGTCTTCTTTCTCTAAAGACTTTATTGTCACAGGTGAAGGCTGCTTTCATTTTTAATGTTACTTAAGTTCTCAGCATAGAATATTAATGTAGATTTAGTATGCTTTGCTTTACTTTTTTCACTTGAATTTTTCAGAGGAATTTTAGGAATTTTGATATGATAAAATATAAGCTAATTAAAATATTTTGTCTGTATGTTTTAGAACTTCCCCCCCAAAAAAACCTTTTTACAGAAGCTGTATCTAAATGTGTATCAATCAGTCTTCCCCTCTTGCATGGTATAAGGCAGTGTGGTGCCACTGCTCTAAGCTCAGCAGGGTTAGTCAGGAAGATACTTGTTGAGGGGATGAATCACTGAAAGATTCTGGGTTTTGCATAGTTGTGATTAAAAAAATATATATTTTTTTAATAGCAAAGGCAGAGGCTGTAAACTGCTGAATGTTAATATTACAGTATTGTCATATTAGCTATTAGAATACTGAAAAATTATACCATAGAATACATTTGATGAAAGCAAATAGTTGCAATTATGAATCAAACAACGTCTACTGCAGAAAATTTCAAGGGCTTGATGATTTTATCAATCTAAGAAGTGTTTTTCTTGCTAACATTCATGGCTTTAGATATTTCAGATCTTAAGTCAGAGAATCATAGAATCACAGGAAACTTTAGGCTCAGAGCCTTACTGAGTTTTAAAGATCACCAAGGGTGGAGATGCACCAACCTTTCTGGACCTCTGTTTGAGGGTTTCACTGTCCCCACAGTGAAATTTTTTTCCATATAACTAATTGGAATTCACCATGTTCCAACTTATGTCTGTTGCCTTTTGTCCTCTCACTGTGCATCCCAACAGTCTGTTCCCATCGTTTTTATACCCTCTATAACCTATTCCTATTTCCAATTTAAAAAAAAAAAAAAAAAAAAAAAAATACTTTTATTCTGTTATATACATTGATTGATGAGTAATTCCTTTTATGCTCACTGAAGATTTATTTATTCCAAGTAGAGTTTTAAGCCTGTTTAGAGTATTGTAAACTATTCATATGAACAGTAGTATGAGGAAAGGACTCTTAACAGCTTTTGTATGATCTTTATATGTCATTGATTTCTTGTTTAGGGGTACAATGTAGACACACTAACGATTGACCAAGTAACTCCACTTCATGAAGCCTGCCTGGGAGATCATGTAGGATGTGCAAGAATCCTTCTTGAAGCAGGAGCAAATGTAAGGGTGTTTTTTTTTTGTATATGAAGTCGAGTGCTAACCTTGGTTTGACTGAGAAGGATATATTCCTTAATTATTATTTTTTTAAATTAGTATTTCTCTCTACTCACCCTATTGATTGCGTTGATCTCATTTACTTACAATAAACTGCCATCTGAAAGCTAGCAAAGGAGAGTGATGGGCATACACTGAGACATATTAATGAATTGGAGAGAATTTGCTAGCAGTATGTCACCAGTCTTATTTCTTCTCCGAATTTAATTATGTTATTTCTCGTCTAAAATACGGAATGCGTCCCTCTCTTTACTGGTTTCCTCTTTGAGTGGCTTGCAGGAGACAGCTCTTTTAACTTGCAGAATGTCTTTTGTCACACTGCACCTGTGTGCTCTTAAGATTCTTTGGTCTGAGTACAAAAAGGCACTGGCTCTTTCCTGTACTCCTGACACAGGCTGGCTGGCTGTTATCCCAGAACAAAAATGGGACTTTACAGACCACTTTCACTACAATCTCTGCTGACATCAGAAGATCATCTGAAGATGCATAGTTTCTCAAGTCTGTGATCTGCGATGGAAATATTTATTGTCCTTACAATTCCATTTTGAAAACCATGTAGGATCTGTCTATGTTATTACAGAAAGAGAAAAAAATACATAGATGTTCCCAAAACCAATTCCTCTCCGCTTCAGCTAGCACAAGGATTCTAAAGATACAAGACTATAGATACTATAGACAAAACTATAACAGATCTAATTTTCCTATCTGAGTTTTTTTAGTACCTTTAATTGTTTTGGTGGGTTTGGGGAGTGTGTGGAAGAGGATAGGCCGGAGTCTGGAAGGAGCCCTCTCCTAATGCCTGTGCTCCTTCTTTAGTATTTTTAGCCCTCACAAACTTGCCTAGTTTCTCTCCTCATTTTCTCACATTGGGAATATTAACTAGTTAGGTGGCGAGGTTGATATTAAAACAGCGAGCCTGTACTATTAGCTTTGTCTCCATCCTGTGAAATACCATTCCAACCTGGAGATTAAAATCACAGAAGAAAGTGGGAAATAATTCTCACATTTAATATGGAGTTTGCATTCTTGACAGCTGCAGAGAGAAGGTTCCCATTATCCCATGTATCAATGAAACAAGCTAAGTGCAGTGACTTTTGAAAATTATTTACTGCCTAGATGTTAATTGCTTTTTAGTATTCCAGGTGTATTTATTCAACATAGTTTAACAAGAATAGTAGTGAACTAATTTCAACTGAGGGGTGTGGTGAGAGGAATACAGTAACTAGCACAGGGACTGATCAGTCAAGCTATGTTATTTTAACCAGTAAATTTTTTGCTATTTTAATGCAGTTTCTAACTATATTCTGTTTAAAATTTTACCTTTCTTTCAGTTCTGTTTGTAAATAAATATTATATATTCTAGGTAAACGCTACAACAATTGATGGAGTGACACCTTTATTTAACGCATGTTCGAGAGGCAGTGCGGCATGTGCTGAGCTCCTGTTAGAGTATGGGGCCAAAGCTCAGTGGGAGTCCTGTCTTCCATCACCGACTCATGAAGCAGCCAGCAGAGGTACAAATTACCTGCTGAACAAACATGGAGTTGATGAATGTCTCAATAATAGCATTAAGAAACGTGTCCAATTTTGTCTATGGGACAGCTTACTGAATTTGAGCAAACTCTGTTGTGCTTTGTACTGACAGGTCACAGTGAATGTCTGGAGGTACTGATATCCTGGGGTATAGACGTTGACCAAGATCTTCCGCATTTAGGAACACCTCTGTATGTAGCATGTGTTTCACAGCAGATCCACTGTATTCGAAAGCTTCTTTATGCAGGTATGTCATAACTGAAATAAAAAACATTAATAGTTTGTAAAATATTCTTTGAAGTGAGCTGTGCTCAGTCAGTGAAACTAGAACTAGAGAATGTTCATTTTCTGTAGGAAAACAAAAGTTAAAGTATCAGCTTTGAGAAAGGAATTTTATATAGTAATCATTGAACTTTCAACGGAACTTTTTTAGCAATGTAGTCCCACCCTTCTTCATTCTTCAGCATGTTGTGATTGATCTTTTCACAAGGCATAGAGGCTGAGTTGCAGAAAGAAGAGGTAACGTTAAAGCTATTTGATCCTAAATTTCACATTATTTATTTAATCAATTGGAAAGAGATGTTGGAGACTCACTCTGTTTCAGCACAAGTCCTGGGACACAGTTGGCATAGCTAAAGGATCATTTGCTGTGTTTCAGGTAGTGACATACAGGGGGTTTGTGTCCTGCAGCACAACGAATGAAAGTGTATACATGAATAATTACAGACTTGCCATCATTGTACCAGAATTGTTTTTCTAGTTAATTGCAGGCTATTTAGAACTTAAGCAGTTAAATTATTTCTTGTTAAGTCAGTCTTCTTGTATGATTATCCTATGTTATAATTCTTATGTTTAGGAACCACAGAAGTAGAATTAGCATATTTTGTGATTCAAATACTACCATAAATTAAAAACAGTGACAGAAAAGCATATTCTACATTTGTTCATGCCCTGAAGTAGAAAATGGCATGTAAATTGATCATATAAGTACTTCTGTCAATCTGTATTTTTTCATATTTTACATTTATGAGAATGTGTTAGAAATTGAAAAGCAAATAGATAATGAAATAGGCAAGAAATTGTTACTGTGGAAGTACTGTCAAATTGTTAATACTGAGAACAATGAGTTATTCTGACTTCAAATCTAATTGCTAGGCCTGTGATATTATTAAATTATTTTACTCAAGTGAGAATTAAAAAGGCAAAAATTGTTGATTCAGGGAGAAAAGTTGGTACAGAAGCCAATTTTGAGTCTCACAAGGTCAGTAATGCTCTCTTAAGAAGTCTGGGTTTTTCTTTTGTGAGAATGGTCTAGAAAACTGTTGGGGTAAACCCAGTTTTAGGGGACTAACAGCAAAATTCTTCCATACTAGCTTTTCTTGAATATGAATGCATTATGGCAAAGTAATTTAGTACATTTTAATTTAAAATAAATTAGCAGTTCCTTATTAATACAAAAGTGTAGTAATTAGAATTCTGTGGAATGAGAGAATTAATGTTTTGAGGTATTTTTCCCTGTTGGCTTTCTTGACTGTGTACCCCACCTTAACTAATTTTACATCTTTTATAGAAAAATAATTGATAAAGTTTGGATGGGAATCTATTTCAAACCCTTTGCTAGCTCCAACATATGAAAAACTATAAAGCGTCCAAGTTAGGTTCCTTCTTGAGTTGTTTTACTTACAAAGATACTAATCTTCAGTTTAGTGATTCTTTTTAAAGACTTAAATAAGTATTTTTAAACACAGCACAAATCTTCTTAGACATGTATATTTTGTATAATTAGGGCAACAATGATGCTCACATGACCTACTCTGATTTTTATTTTCCTCTTTTTGTATCTTCCTTTAAAATCTAGTTGTGTTTATGTAATAAAACCTAGGATACACATATGGATTACCACCCCCCACCCCCCACCCCCCCC